ATATATATATATATATATATATATATAATAATAAGAATTACTATTTACTAAAAATAATAAGCAAAAAAATATGGGAATATTATTACATTCTATTTTTAGAATGTTTTTTTTTCATTTTTTTAATAAAAAATTAGGCCGCATTTAATGCTACCATAAATCATGGAATTTGTTATATTTAATTTTCAAAGATTGAAATAAAAAATTTCATCTTTATCTTAGCAACAAGTCTATAATAATATATGATATGACCAGGGCAACACGTTAGATTAGGGAATAATTTGAGTATTTGTCGTTAGATAAAGCAAGATTAACGAGATTAAAATCAATTACCTTATTAATTAGTATATGAATAGTGAAGATAAATGATTATTCATTTTTTAACTAGTGCGTAGCCCGTGCGATGCACGGGTAAACAATATGACTTTCATAGCATGTAAAATTGTATTATCACATATGCATAATAAAATCTACATCTTATGTTCATATTTTATGTTTTTTAATGGAATAAATTCCTTCATTTTAGGGATCATATTTATTTAATCTGTTCAAATTTGTCTACATATCGACAATTTAAATTTTGAAATTGAAGATAACCCGAATCTATGATTGCAAAATATCGTTTAATAATTAAATCAGCCGCAATTTTAGGATTTGGTATTTTGAAACTTAGAAAAAAGTAAAATCATTAATTTAGGGTAGATATGTGATAAATCTATCTAGATCTTGTATGCATCACGTTTTACAATTGAAGCAATTTAAATATGGAAATTAAGATATTTTGAATCTCTGATTTAAACAAACACCATAAAAAATTTGATTTTGTATTTTGAAATTAAAAAAAATATTAATTTAGAGGATGATATGTGATAAATCTATCTAAATCTTGTATACATCACGTTTTAAAATTAAAACAATTTAAATATGGAGATTATTGCTATTTCAAAATTCTGATTTAAACAAAGACCATAAAAATTTTGATTGTTTCAAAATTAGACCCGTGTAGTATTTTTCGTTATAAATAATTGTCAAACAAAACAATTGAATTAGCCGCAACTTTATTCTTTTAATTGAAACTGCCTGATTTGATGGTTAGAAAAATTATTTTCAAAAGAAATAAACAAATGATTTTTTTATTTTTTTTTTATATTCTTACCCTTAAATTAGCCGTAATTTTGTTTAAATAAAATTTGCTAATCAAAACATATGTATTAGCCGATTTTATAGAAGATAAAAAGTTTTCGATATTTGAAAATACAAAAGCATATTTTTATGGTTAGAAAAAATAACACATAATTTTTATTATTATTAAATCAGTCGTAATTTTTTTATTAAAAAAAATCGCTAAGCAAAGCAATTGTATTAGCCGAATATCTGGTTTTAAATTTGGAGAATATAACTGACCGATATTTAATTGAATTAGCAATCGTGGCGTACATTTCTATTCGAACTTAAAAATAGCTTATAGTAACCAATAACCAAATTTAATTGATGCAACACGTGCATTATCAGCTTTTGATATGCACATCGTGTCGAACCATTACAAATATTCAATAGACCAAATTTAAATAGCAGCCCACTTTTTTGAAAATAAAAAATTAACAAACTCCTCATTTTCAGGACAATATTTAATGTTGTCTATTTTTTAGTAAAAAAATATATTAAAAAGATACTATAAATGGCATGTAATTAATATTGATAAGTTTTGACCAAGGATTGACTTACTATTTTTGATAAATATTAATTCTTATTATATATATATAGATTAGATTTAGGAAGAAAAATTTAAATCTTTGCCAATAAGATTGTGAATGGATATCAAATAATATTACTACAAACCTACAATTAAAATAATATTATTACACATCTGATATTTTAATTCTCAACCATTTTAAATTAATATTTTATTATTTTATATCATATTATCTTAATCATTATAATTTTATTTTATAGTTTTTCATCATTTGAAAATTTTTCAACAAAATAAAATTTTTTGAAATTTATATATAGGTTTATGTATTATATTCCAATGCAAGGAATAATAATTCTTTCTAACAAAATGCTCTAAATTATGTATTTCATACTAAATGCGTTAGCATTTGCGAGATATACACAAATTCGTATAATATATTTCCCTAAACTTGATAAAAAAATAAGAATTAATGGATGGATCGATACATTACATGTAGACAATGTTGATAGTAATAATATAAAATTGGTATACAAGACATATAGACAATATCTACTATGTAAATATTTTCTCATAAAGTTCAACCTAAGATATTAGATTGTAATATTTATTATTTACTCAAATAATATTTTAGATACTTTATTTACTGATTCAATACTCACACACATAATATTTCAGATACTTTTTAGATTTTTTTTTTTTTTTTTTTTTTTTTCTACAAAACAAATCAAAAACATATTTTGATTTTTATACATCAAATGTACCATAATTATAAAATAAAATAATAATAATTATATTAAACTAATATAATAATTATAAGTATATAATATTTTTAAAAAAATTGTATTTAAACTTACTAGTTAGTATAATTTATAAAATATAGTTTGTAAGTTATGCATAATTTTAAATATAAATAATTTTATTAGTATTTTATGACCCCGCTTAGGTCTCGATAATCAATCCCAGCTAGGCCCTAGCTCGCCGCCTAACAAGCGTTTAGCGCCTTTTAAAACCTTGGCTACATAAAAGGAGTAGTTTTGTAAAATATTTACGGATTAAAAGTCCTAGTGTTTGATCTCATTTTAATGGTAACATTGTAAGTACCATTATCTAAAAATAAAAACTACTAAAAAACTAATATTACTTGCTTAATATGAATGGACTTGTCTAATTATATATAAGTAGGACTCATATTATTATATATTAAAATGACTGTTTGTGGGAGCAACCCTAGTTAGATCATTAAAGGGGTAGACTTATTATGTGGTGTTAATCCATTTCATATATAGTTGGCTTTATCTTCTTTGAAACAAAATTGAAGTCCATGAGGGTTTTATACACTTCCAGAATTTGATTAGTATAAAATTCTTAGCTAAGTATTCCTAGATAGTGGAATTGAGCACATAATCTCTTGTCCATACACTCAACAAAATAGAGTTGATGAAAGAATACATAGGCAGCTAACTGAAATGAGATTNCCGGCCCTCGCGGCGGAGGCGCGCTCCTGGGCGGAGCAGCGCCGCGGGGACTGCGACTACCGCCGGCACTCGGGCAACCGTTACGGCGAGAACATCTTCTGGATGAGATACAGGGAGTTCGACCCGGCGGACGCCGTCGCGTACTGGTTCGGCGAGTGGAGGCTGTACGACCACGCGAGTAACAAGTGCCGGTGCTGGCCGGAGAGGAACGGGTGCGAGTGCGGCCATTACCTGGGCGTGATATGGAGCACCACCAGGCGGGTCGGGTGTAGCGGGTCGGTTTATTGCAGGCACCAGCAAGGGGTGTACGTGGTGTGCAACTACGACCCGCCCGGTTTGATTCCTGGGGTTGACCCGTTCACCGGTTTGAAGTTAAAATTGAATGGATTTGACCCGGTTCATAAATCTACGTTGACCCGTTCATAAATCTCCGTCATATCTTTTCATTATTTCTCTTTCTATTTCCACCTTTAAAAAAGAAATTGAAATTGAATGGATTTCACGGGATGATATATATTGATATACACATAAGTGGCAAATTGATCATATTTATTTGTGCATCGTTTCATAAATTTTGATTTTGTTCGTCTGTTTTCGTATTATCTATTTATTTGACCATATACGATAACTAGTCTAAGTTTGTTAACACGAGAAGCTGTGCGGTTTTGTTTTCTTATTGCATAAGTTTTTCCAAACGATCAATACAAGAGTTTTAAAGAAAGAAAAATACAAAAAAATGCAACAAAGGTCCTAAGAAACACAAATTAACAAAGCAAAGACTAAAAATTGGAAAACTCGTTGAACAGAACTTTGTTCCCGTCGGAACCGCCGTGGCGTGAGGCTTCGCTGACCTGCGACCTTTCACCAAATATTGTTACTTTATTTAGAAATTTTATACCTGTAATTATATATAAATTACCATAAATTAATTATAAATTATAAAATAATTATATGTTTGCTAAAAAGTCAAAGTTTGAAACAAAATTTGTTAAGTTCTTACTGAGTTGAAATATATTTAAAAAATATTATTTTTTAATATTTAAATATATATATATATATATATATTATTTTTAATATTTAATAACTGTTTAGCTTTTACTCAATTTTTCATGCAAAATATATAATTTAAATGAAACACACTATAAATTTATATCTATATTCATGTATTGCGCATTTACGGGTAAGCTTGCATGAGTAAAAGAATACTAGGTGAATACTAACGAAATAGATTATGAAACAAGGAGATTTGACACTCGTAAAATTTGCTTAATAATTAGAGCATGTTAGTGGGTATATTAAAATAATATTTAAAATAAAATAATTAACATCGATTTGATGTAAAAGTATGAGAGAGATTATTTGAAGTGATAGTTAAAATAATGTGAGTGGATGAATAGTGAATTAAGCTTAATGTGGTGTGTATGATTGATTGATTGATATTATTTAATTATATTGATAATATTGATGATAATGGAGTTGAATTAAAAAAAATAGTTGAGTTAAAAAAAATAGTTGAGTTAAAAAAAGTAGTTGAGTTAAAATGTTAGAATTTTTTTTAAAAAAATCTTATAAACAAACATGCTCTTATGTTTCAAACCAACTCTTGCAAGTATATGTTTCCAAAGGAAAATGGAACATAAGTATCACGATTGATGTATTGATGCGTGTCTCAAAATGAATTTGCTTTGGGTTTGCATTCTTGGACATAACAGCAAAATATTTCAAATTTCCGAACAAGAACCAGATGATCAGCCTCTAAAACTTCTCCTCACTACCATGAAGAAAACACTCATTTANCCGAATCTCTTTCCCCATCTATAAAACAACACAGGTATGTGAACGATCACTCAATAATAAGCATTAAGAAAGTAGAAGATAAAGAGACGCCGATATGCACGTAAAAAATTCTTCGAAAATCGACAGCTTATAAGCAGCCACGACTCATGATATGTGGTTTGGATTTTCGACCACCGACCATTTAACCTATAACTCTACAAAGAAAGAAAGGAAATTCCAGTTACCTTCCACAATTACAAAAAGATAGCTGGTGTATATTGCAATCTGACTTGAGCTAGTTTACATCCTACACCTTAACCATAATGCTCTTCAAAAGTGAAATCAAGATCCACCATTCTCCTTTCCCTTGCCTTTCTCACCAAACGAGCCATAGTTCCTAGCTAAGACCTTACTTTTCCCTGGCTTCTGAACAGATTTCTGCCTCTTCTTGAGGATTTTCATTGCTAGTGTTTTCAAAGGAAAATTCACATCGAGTGGCACCAAAATTTCATACAGCTCTTCCCACTCGAGATCCTCAAAATCCCCATCTTCATAGACTACCCTGTACCAACCCGTCTCACCGTCGAATTGAGTTACGGTGCCGTTAAAATGATTGGTCCCGAACAATTTACGGACTTCCCTGCCCTCCATCCACTCACCAAACCCAGCAAATCTTTGTAGATGTACATCATCTACAGCACAAGGTACCACGAGATCCGTCTCACTTGAGGATGTTGAGGGGAGCTCGTTTATTACGATGGCTGGTTCGCCGGGAATCTTGAAAATTCCGGCTGGTGAGGGCTCGGTAAACTCCCCATTCTCTTTTGCCTCCATTGTTAGAATATTATCTCTAGCTGACTTGTGTAAAGTTTTTCGACCTACAAAAGATTAATTATGATATCAAAGATTGCTACTATATTCTAACAATAAGCAATTAAAGTAAAAAACAGCGGGTAAACTGAGAAGAAAATTCGTGAAAGATATTCCTTTAGATTTGTACCGGCACAGAGGATAATAATATTCATAATCTCAATTGAACTAAGTCATCACGAATAGGAGATATCAATATTTGGTTTCATGCAAAGAACTATAGTAAAATCGTAAATCTATTAAGGACAGATTAAGAGAGACTGTTAAAAGGAGCAACTGCATGGGCTGATTAATACCCACTCTTAAAGGAAATTGCAAAAACACGTGGCTCACCATGCATAAAAGGGAAGAACACGTTAGTGCATAATTTGTCACCCTTTAACCGGGATTTTCTTCTAATTGTGGAATTAAACACAACTGAGAATATTGACTTGAAGGTATAAAAGCTCATGAAACAGCCAATTCACATAGATTACATATAGATTATATGGTAGCATCACATATCTCCCCTGAATTTTACTTGTTATTTTCCGTCGACAAAATTATATATGAACCACGTGTACACACACACTCAGATCATCAGATACCATGACAAACACAACACCAATGAAAACATTAAAAGAAAACATAATGCATTCTTTCAGTTAATTAAGCCATATGCAGAAAAATACATTGTGCTGCTGACGAAAGCCGGNGACCATAAAATTCTTATAAATCATTATTTCTGAAAATGAAAATTCATGTAAGAAGCCTTACAGGATTAAAAAAACACAAATTATTGTGTGAGTCGGAATAGTTAGGCGGGACCACCCGTCATACTCTTTAAACAAAAATGCATACTTATACTATGAAATGTCATACTTCTTTTCATGTCATTTTTCACATTTTCTAATGAATGTATATTCTAACAAACCGAATGTCAGCCTAATGGTTAGCCCAACCTACTACTACAAAAACGAAAAAGTCTCACTACTTTTCCTATCAAAGTTAAACATCTCCCAAAAAACAAGACTTTTACACAGGAAAACACATCTATCAATGCTTTAATTTGTTCGCATGCATTCACCGAGCAACTTACAGGGATGATTTACGGGACACCCAATCTAAGCCCAAACAGACACAACTGAATCCAAAGTCCTAAAGCCCTAATCGAGCGGCGTTTGATCTCAGTGCACATTCATGGAAAACGTTATCTAAGTTTGTAGCTCAGCACCTTAAAAACAAAAAACGGGTAATGTTCGATTCGTTTTCAATTTTCGTGCATTAAGTAAACGAAATCTACAACTCCATTTCTGAACACTAGATAAACACAAGTGCGCTAAATCTTTGTTCTAAAACTAGAACAAAGCAAAAGCGAATCAACGCAAATTTTCGATAGATAGAGAGACCTGAGAGAAGGATTTGGGAAGAAGATGAAATTCAACGCTGCGAAAATAGCTCCAAGCGGCTGCACAGCTTCGTCTTCTATTTAGGATAATCCAATTTCCATTTTCCATTTATGAGCAGCCCGTGAGCTTATAAAAGGGGAAATGTGCTTCTAAATTAATTAATTTAGGATAACAAGAGCTGAGTAGTTTATTTATTTCAAAAAGAGAAAAATAAAGTAAGATGGAGTAGAAAAAAATCAAAAGGACGTATTCCCGTAATACGTTTTCTAAATTAAATTTAATTACAAAAACGTATTCTTGTAATACGTGTTATAATTATATTTGGAAATTAAAATAAATAGTTCCGTTTAAAAGAAAAAGAAATAGAATAAAAAATGATAATTGTAAACCGTATTTCAGAAATACGTTTTATATAACCCCTAAATTGATTTAGGGTTTCAAAAACCGTATTCCGAAAATACGTTTTAAATCTTTATATATAAAAACGTATACTAAAAATACGTTTTACAATTAAATGCTTCTAAAACGTATTCCGGAAACACGTTTTACAACTAAATATAAAATAATGTTATCTTCTTCTTCTCCATTCATTTGCGCGATTCTCAAACCCTTCTCCCAATCCTCAGCCTCCACAGCGCAGCGCAAGACGTAAAATAAAAAAAATAAAAAAAAAAACTCGATCCAATCGTCACTTCTACGTGAACCGACAACAACAACACGAACCTCATTTCTGGTTAATTAATTCGAACGAGGTATATTGGCTTATCTCAACTTTTGATATTGTTTAAATTTGTTGGGAGATTGTAATTGTTATAGTATGTTTGAATGTTGTGATGTTTGAAATTGGGAATTGTTAATTGTTTATCGATTATGTGTGTATGTTGAATTGAGAATTGAACTTTTTTTTGTAAATTATCAATTGTGTATGGGTTTGTTATTGTTGGGTTTTCGAATTTAGGGTTAGAATTAGGATTTTCGATTTATTCGAAATATAGATGAATTGTATGTTGTATGTTATTGTTGAATTATGGATATTATGGTTTTGGAGGATTAATCGATTGGGAATATTTTTTATTTTTTTGGAGTAAAAATGGATTTAAAGAATAATTGAATTTTTTGGGTGTTGTATTAGACATCATGTGTTGTTGTAATTTGGAAGAATTGAAAGTTTTTTTTGCAACAGGTATAAATGGCATATTGTGGTCCGTATTTTGTTAATTTGTATTGGCGATTTGCGAAGGAACAGTTAAGAGATTTTGTTTCATTTATGGATAGTCCGGATGGTTCATTTGTGATTACCGGGAGGATATCATATGAACAACTGGTACAGATGATTAATGAGAATTGTCGTTTTGGAGAAGGTTGGACAATTCAAGTGATTACTTTAATGTTTCGTCAACGCGATGGTTCGTGGACTGCCGGAAGACTCGATAACTCTAGTGCTCTTCAGTGGATTTATGCATATGAACCTATGTCCGTTGTGTATTTGCATTTATCGTTGGAAGAAATTACACCGGTCACACAATTTGAGGATTTTACTCCTTATTACGGGGGAATGGATGAGGGTACGTCGACTTCTCATCTACGTAATTTTGGAGAAGGGACAAGCTCACCAATTAGAGAAAGGGCAAATGAGGACGAGGAAGAAAGTGACGAAGAGTTCGTACTCGGTGAAGATGATTTCACAAACGAGACCTCAGAAACCGAATCAGATAGATCGGTGAATGAGGAGAGTGAAGCCGAGTTCATTGAAGAAGAATTCCCCTTTCCTAGTGGTGGTCGGCACGTATACCGCGAGATGGGTGAATGGGACCCGTCCAGGATAGATGCGGACGAGTATGCTATTCCACGCTGGAATGGCGACATTGAGACCATACGTTTGGGTATAGTTTTTCAGAGCAAGAAAGAAGCCCAAATGGCTCTGATGGCTTGGAACGTCGATAGGTTGCGGGAGGTTCGGATAAATGATTCGAATCAAAAGTCATACAAAGTGGTCTGCAGATCTAGTGAAGATCCGCCTTGTCTGTGGAAGGCTCGGGTGACTAAGTTCAAACGGGTTCATGAATTGTGGGAACTAACGGAATGGACTGATAGTCACACTTGTATGCAACCGGTCGAGAGAAATGACCACAGAAATGTAACCGCCCAAATGATTTCAAATCTCATTCGTAATAAGATTCGAAAGAAATTGGAGTACGGTGTCGACATGATCCAGGCTGATGTGAAACAGTGTTGGAAAGTGGATGTCAGCTACAAGAAGACATGGCACGGAAGGAGAAAAGCCATCGAGAGTGTGTATGGCACTTGGGAATCGAACTTTGCAGAACTCCCTCAGTAAGCAAAAATTAATTACAAATATAGTATATTTATTTAATGTTTGTCGCTATGTTTATCTATTTAATATGAAATTGTTTTGTAATGTGTAGATATTTTTCCGCGCTTCAAAGGACGAATCCCTCCACAATTGTAGAGTGGGAATGGCAGGGTGGGGAAATGGCTCGACACCTTCGAGACAGACAATTTAAATTTGTATTTTGGGCGCTTGGTCCCGCCATTCAAACTTTACGAAGGTGCCCGCCGGTTATTAGCGTCGATGGCACACATTTGCGTGGATCCTACAAGGGAAAATTGCTTGTGGCCGTTGCACAGTCTGCGAATAAGCGGTTATTGCCGGTCGCGTATGCGCTTGTCGATGAAGAAAGCAAGGACAGTTGGTCATTTTTCCTTAGGAATCTGCGGCAACGTGTAGTCTTCCAGAGACGTATCTGCATTCTTTCTGACAGGGATGCGGGCCTACTCAGTGCCATCGAATCATTACCAGATTGGCAAGAACCCGCTGCGTATCACCGAATTTGCCTTCGACACCTCCGAAGCAACGTGGTGACTAATTTCAGGAGTAAGAAAATTCGGACTTGGTGTTGGGAATTGGGTTCGCAGTTGTCGGAGCGAAAGTTTCGAGAGACAGAACAACGACTGTTGGCATTGAATCCCGAGGCACACAATTTCGAATTCCTTCGGAGAAGTGGACCCAGTTAAAAGATAAAGGAGGACGCAGATGGGGCACATTGACCACGAACATGTCGGAGAGTTACAACAACATGCTGAAAGGGGTTAGGTTCCTGCCGTGCAGAGCTTTGGTAGATGCCACATTGCATAAAACTCTGGATTTGTTTCAACAGGAACAAAACAAGTCCACGAGATGCAGGACTCCCATTGCTACGGAGCACTATAACGCATATTTGCAATTGGAGCAGACAGGCGCCACTCATAATGTCCATGTTATGGACGCGGACAGCTCCATGTACGGAGTGGAAACCGGTTTACGGGCGAGTGGAAGAGGGCAAAACATGTAAGTATATTTTTTTTTTTACTTTGTTGTTTGTCCATTAAATTTAAATTTTTTCATATTGTATATGTATAAATCACTGGAGAATTATTACAGGTATAAGGTAGATTACAACCGAAAACGTTGTAGTTGTTGTCGGAAGTGGCAGACGCATCGGAAACCATGCTCTCATGCGTTAGCCGTCTGTCGTTCAGTTGAGACCGACCCAAAACTGTTGTACAGTGAGTATTTTTGGACCGAGAACTGGGTAGCTCAATTTCGTGATTGGAGTTTTGCTCCGATTGGTAATCCGGATACATGGGCGCCGGTCGAGTGGAAATTGATACCACACTGGGAGAGGATGATCTTGAAGCCTGGACCCGGTCGCGTGCAAACGAGACGATATCGCATGCAAATGGATCGTCGGTCACGCCGCAGGAGGGATAGGGGACAGTGCACTAGATGCGGTGATCCAAATCATGTTGTGGATGAGTGTCCGTCTTCGCATCCTCGCACCGACAGGTCGAGACTTCGTGATGAGTGGGGAAATTGGATTTGTTAGTGTTCATTCGAATTTGTTTGGAGAGTTCATTTGGATTTGGTTGGATTATTATAATTTGTTTGGATGGTATTTACTGTAATTTTAGTTTTCATGGTATTTTGGTTTAGATTGTGTATTTTTGATTTGTTTCGTCCAGGTTTTTCGGGTGTTACAATAGAAAAAACTTGTATTTTTTTTTTCATCCCCAGTACAAAACGTATTTTCATAATACGTTTTATAATAGTATTATTTATAACACGTATTCTCGGAATACGTTTTCCATTTGACATTATTTGTAAGCCGTATTCTCAGAATACGTTTTATATTCATATCCTAAATATAAAACGTATTTCTGAAATACGTTTTATAAATGTTAAAAAAATGGAACGAGGTTCCCAGATTCGGGACTCGAACCCGGGTTCGGGTGAGTCCGTTATCTCTGGGGGCGCCTCGTTACCATTGGGCCGCACTAGGCTATCGCTGAATAATTTGCGCAACATTTAATCTTATCCTTCAACTGTTAGAGTAGGGTACCCGGCGTTCCAATCTAATTGGACGTATTCTACTTGTAAATACAGTCTATTGGAATTATATTATGAATAAGGCATTTCTTTATCTTAAGAGAAAGCATTTATCTTATAATTGCACTTAAGATAAAATCCCTAGATCACTTATGGTTATAAGGTATGGTTGCGCATAGAGATGGTGATCATGGAACATACCTTGAAAGCCGTGATCTTAAATACAGTTCCAAGTCGATGGATGTTTCGAGATGGGATATCGAATAATCCATAAAAGACTTGCACATAGTTTGTATGCTTGTTGGACAAGAATGTTGCATTCCATCAACATTAGCGTAAGACGTAAGTACATTTATGTGGGTGCTTGTTAGAGAACAAGTTCACTGAACATGACCGTATGAAAATTCTTAATGAAGAATTTATTCAGTCGAATAAGAATTTTCATGTTACAATAGTACATGACTAATCCTAAGACTTGAGGCACAATGGTAACTTTGTGCATATTACATTCTACTTTGATTTATCCTTTTGGTAGCTAGCACTATCGTTTAAAGGGATAAGTTGGGTATTATGTTAATATGTATGGAAGTTTGTTAGTGGCCAATAAAGGATTCGACACTTATGAAGATAAGTGAATTTCCTATGTGTTTCATAGTTATTAATCCAAAGTCCTTGGCCAAGGCAGAGATGAATAGTGATTCATAACCGGGTTAATAAACATGAAATAGAATCATAGTTATTAAGTCAATTTGGGTT